GCTGGCAGTGGATAAAGTACTGATTATAGCAAGGGATATCTGAAAATGATGTAACCCTGGGATTAAGTCCAATTCCTTTTCAGGCTCCAAAGCAAACAGAGATGCCTTTCAGTTATTTTTCATCTGGCTTCACTTTTTTGTGTTGACCAGTGGGTGAATTAAGGTGCCCATTTGATAACACTAATAGTCTGAAATCTGCTTCCTTCTTTTCTCCAGGAAAGAGAAGGAAGGAGGTACAAATTGCTTTCAAAACAGCTCCTCCTTGCAGCTTTTAGGAATATCATATGGTCAAAGGCTCCTGTCTGCAAATTTCAGGGTACTCTTTACTAGCCACAAATTTTGCCTGCAAGGGTTTGAATATTTATCTAGCCTGAGAATGCACCACATGGTGAGTTTTTAATCTGGTGGCTCTGTTGGAGGCTGCTGGTTGCTGTAGGATGCTTCGCTAATCACTGGTTCTCTCGTCCCCCAGGCATACCCATGCTGTAAAGACTGCTATGGCTGGCAGTTTGTACGTAGCTGGCAGCATGGGCATGCTAGTTTGCTGCTAAGCAGCTCTGGAGTATTTATTCAGCTCGTGAAGTCTACACTGAGCGGCTGCTCGGCATGATTGAGCTAGTTAGTCTGAAACTCCTCTGAGTGATCGCCAGATAGGCAAACCAGAGCACCCAGCCCAGCCTCCGTTGCCCAGTGTTCCTGCAGAGGACCTGGGATAGGCGTGGTGGGTGGCCTGGTCCCCTATGGCACAGCAGATAACACACACCGCGGCACCCTGTGAAAGGATGGCATCAGGATGAAGTCAGGCAGTCAGGAAAAAGCTGGAAAGCAGACAGTGCCCTGCCTTGTGCACCAATACCTCAAAGCCCTGCATCCAACTGCCTGAAGCTTCCTGTCTTCTGCGGCTGGCAAGGCTGGGTTTACAGCCGTGCATCAGGGCTGAAGTCACAAACCAGCTGTGCCTCCCCTTTAAAACCACACAACTGGCTTGGAGTTGTCAACACCAGCTCTGATGGGCCCCCTTTGCTGATGAGCTGGGTAGAGCACTCCTTTACTTAGGCTTCCCAGTAGAACAGAATCCAATCCAAATTTACCAGTGGACAGCTATGAAAGCCTGCAGACTTACCACTGAAGGTTTTGCAATCTGGTGAGGACCAAGTCTGTCCTTGCTGTGCCCCTGGTCCATGTTGCGTGGTCCAAAGAAGCTATTTGGAATCACACGGAGACGCCACAGGAATTTATAGCTGAGCTCACCACTGCCAAAACGACTCTTACAGCTCTACCCCATGGGCTAATGTTTGGCACTGGCAAACCCTAGACAGCTGGAAGAGCATCTAGGTGTCTGTGTGTTAATGTGCAGGGCTGCCATGGTGTGAACGTCCTCCACAGTAGGCAGCATCTCCTCCGCTAGGAACATCTGAACCTGTTGGATACAGCCAGCTGGCCTCAGTCTGCATGTCAGGTCAAGGAGATGACGTGCCATATCTCAGAGCACTGCCAAAAGGCACCTTCCTCACAGTAGCTGTCAGCCATCAGACATGCCACATGCTTGGCGGTATGCCTGGCATGTGACCAGGTGTATAAATGTGCCTGCTAAGTGACCCAGTGCTCAGGCCATGCTTCCATCACAGAAGCGGTCCTGTCTTTGGACAGCAAAGGGTTGAAGTGCTGTTGCTGTGAGTGTTGGTACAAGCTGGAAAGATGCTGAGAACTATGTCCTAAGTTGGATGAAGAGAATGATGAACAGATTATTAAACTTATATTATTAAACATCCACTTTCAGAATAAGGGCTGTGTTTATAAGTAATCCAGATGCCCTCTCATTGTGATACTGGTGAAAAGTCTCCAAGCTAATGGCAGGGATTGGATCCAAGCTCATCAAAACTAGCTCTGACTTCCCAAGCAGGGGATTCTGGCCACACACTTGTTTGCACTCGTAGAAATTTCCCATCATTTCAGTGCAACACATCGAATCATTTTCTTTTGCAACACTATCCTGCAGACACAAGTTTTCTTTAGAAAAAGATTTTCTGTGGAATTGCTCCTTTTCCTTGATTTTTTTTTTTTTTTTGCAAGGAAAGCAAACTGTTCACACTGACTCACGACTATCTGCATTGAAGGCGCTGACAGCTGCAGTCAACACTGGCAGATGTTTCCATGCTGCTGTCCCCATCAATTCAGCACTGACCTTCCCACTGGATTTCCAATCACACCAAAACAGTAATGTGTTTTATGAGATAATATTTGATGTTTGATGACCTGGGAGAAGCCACTAGCCTTAAAGTGGCCTGAATGATGCAGCCTTTGTATCCTAAGGCTTGGACATGCATTTAAATTTCTCTTAGAAGAACAGTGGCACAGAGAAGAAGAGAGGGAGATTGGCAGGGATCAAATAGGGCTTAGAGTCTCCTATTTTGTGAGGTGCAAGTTTTGCAACTATTTTTGCAACGTTTTGCTTTTCTTTTTGAGTAATTTGTCTCCCAAGGCATCGTTGTAGTTTGCAGTAGTTCTGTTAACAGCAATATTGCTTCATCCCTTCTCAGTCACTTGCACAGAAGCCTCTAAACGTTGTAAAGCCAACGTTCCCAATGCCCAGCTCTGGTAAAATCACTTTCTACATCTACAAAGGAGAAAGTAAGGTACGACAAACTAAAACTAGCATCCAAATCATGGGGAATGTCTATAGCAAGATGGGAGATGGCTCAGAAATCACAAAGCTGAATGCAGTGCTTGAAAGCAAGATTCTTCTCCCTACTTTAAATCTGAAGTAGGGAAACAAAAACCCCATATTTTTGCTGAGGAGCAGAAAACCCTACCTAGTTCTGCCATTTCAGCTGTGTAAACTAATTAAAGTCATTTTAGTGTTTTACACTGAGTTCTTATATTGGTTTTGCCCGTACTGTTGGGGGTGACATCACCTGGTAGTTATGTCACTACTGTAAAGGCATAAACAGAAACTGCTCACTTAAGTCTGAAAGTGATTAAAAACATCAAGAGGGTCACACATGGTTATTCAAAGATGACAAATGCTCAGCTCATAGTTTTGTTTACACAAAGGAAAACAAATGGTCTAAGAGCAGTCTATCCTCATAGAAAGACCAAGAAGCACTTCATATCTACACAGGAACGTGCCCAAACATTTGCAAGTCTTCCAGGAGTCAGCTGGAGAGAAACAGGTATTTCAGCAGCTATAAGCCTGGGTGCATTTTCAGCCAGCTTCTCTTTCACACTAAATCATACTTGCACCCAAGTCAGAGGTCCTTTATAGCACATCAGAATCATGAAGAGCTTAATTCACTTCGAGGTTGGATCACATAACACTTATACGGGCTAATTCTGCTATTGCTTATGCTGACAGGACACAAAACTGCATGTTTAAGAGATACATCACCAAACAGGGATGGAGCCTACTGTCAGTTGCACTAATATAAATAGCTGGTAACTGTACCGGCTTCAGTTAAGCTGCTCTGGATTTTCCCTAACATAAATGGAAGTGGAATCTTTCACGTACATAATCTTAGTTTGTCAAGTCAAAAAAGTTATTCACAGAACAGGCATTCTTCAAACTCTGATTTCTGTGGGAAAATTGCCAGGCATTAGCAATCTGTATGTTATGAACTTTTCTCCTAGAAATCAATATCACACTCAGTGAAGACATTTTAGCACATCTTCCCCTTCAAGGAATAAAATACTAACCCTTTTTATTCACAAAAGTTCATTGGTCCTGTATTCAATGGAAATCCTTACAGGGAGCCAAATGGTACAGACCTACGATTCTCCACTAAAAAAATTACATTGTTGTTTCATGCACAGTTGAGTTTCTTGAAGCCTTCACAATGCTACAGTTACTTAGGCTTTGGGACAAATGTACTCCTGAAGTAACTCCAAGATCCTTTGTTGATTTATGTCAGAGGTGTGTAAATTGACCACATAAGACATTAATATAACTGACATTTTTCACCATGAGGTAAATATGGACAGGGGCTCAGAGATATGTTGAATCTCCACCCTTGGAGATACTAAAAACTGGATTGGGAACAGCCGTGGGCAACTGGGTGTAACCATCTAAATTGCAAGGAGTTAGGGGATATCTTATGGCTGCCACAGGGGTTTCAATTCACCCGGGTTGTCCACCTTGGACATGCACTAAATTTGCAAAGCGCAGGTGCAGCTCTCGCGCTCTCTTCCCAGCTGCATGTCCCTGCGTGTCTGCTGGGTGCTTGGAGCTGAACACGAGACGTGAGTGGGTGTTGGCCACTTCAGTGCTCAGCTGGGTACCTCCAGGGATAGTTCGGGATAACTGTCCTGAAATTTAGGAAGCACTCAGACATTTAATTCCACTGAAAAGGTGGAGATTAGTACCTTGGAGACAAGAGGTAGCTCTATAGTATCCTGCTGTCATAGACTGTATCATTTCCTCTAAAGTGACATTAATCCATTCTCTTCAATGGCTTCTGTTTCCACCCATAAGCACACATTAATTTATAGAAATTTGCACGAACCTAGTTTTTACAAGAAATATATGGGAATACTTCCTCCCTCTCACATAACAGTTCAAACCTCATTCTGCAAACTTTGCTTTGTAAAAGTGCCCATGGGGTTTAAATTTATGTAGCAAAATATATATATGTTTATGTATGTTCAGAGTTTTAACCCAGAATGTAAGATTTTTAATGAATGAAAATATGCAGAAATATTCCTTACTATTCATTAGAATTTCTTACGTAATTAATTGCAAGCAGCTATATTATCTATGAGCAAGACTGTACTGGGCTCTTTGATGGGTATTTCTGTCACTGCACCTGGACAGTTTTCATACTTGAAACCGTATCAGTCAAACTACATGAACTGCAGTTGCAAACAAAGCTGACAGACATGACTGAATTTTTGTTTCTATGCTGTCATGAGTATCTGCCTTCACTCCCACATGTAAAGGCAGTCAGAACCTTTAGAGGGATTTTATTTTTTCCCTAGCTGTAAAAAAATGTTTTGAGGCACAGTACCTTGTCTCCTGGCTGTGGGCGCATCACAGATACACGGTCGTAACCTTTCCGCAGCAAGACCCAGAGAGCATCCAATTTCCCCTGCAACCAAATGAAACACAGTGTTACCTTCTGTGAAAGAACACGTACGCTGTGCAAAGTGCAGTGCAGGGACAGTGCAGCTTAGACCTACACATTTTTTACTTCATCATTTCCTGTGCTTGTACAAGATGCTGTAGAGCAATGTTTTCTCTCACAGAAGCTCACTCCAAACTTGCTGCAAGTGCAAAGGAAGAAGCTTTCAGATGAGCAATAAGCAGATACGTCTGACAGTCAACAGTATCCGTGTGTCTAGCCTTTACGTATTCTTCTGAAAATTGCCAAAGGTAATAGGCGACTCGGATACCTCCTGGGCTGAGAGAGAGTTTAATGCCTACTCAGCTCCTGACATCATTGCTAGCAAAATGCTATATCAATGCAGAAAGCAAGTCAGGTGAATTTATATGATGCATTTCCTAAATATACTGCCTCCTCCTCTGGCCGGCTGAGTGGCTTGCCTCTCGCTCTAGGTGACCACTGTGACATATTAGAAATAATTTTCATTTTTATCTCAAAACAATCTGCTGGGGAGAACTGACTGAAAAACTCTCTCCACACAGCCACGACAGCTGAGTCACAGCTAGGTGCTGTGTAATGACCCACTTAATCTTTCATGCCAGCTACGTGCTAGCAAGAGAGCAGCAGGTTCCTGGGTCTCACACAGGCTCCCCAGTCCCACCTCATACGTCAGTTAATATTTGCATCTTTTCCAGGCAATAACGCACATCTTTCAAAGCCCTCCGTTCCTATGAGCTCAGTGTCAGCTGCCCTACAGGTGCCACCCTCACCACATCGCACTGGTTTTGACAAGCTGTTCACCTCACTGTGTGGTCTCGTACCCAACAGCCCATACCCAAATGTACACGTGTGCACATGCACAGACCCAGACAAGTTTTGCTGAAAACTCAACGTGCTGAAATCTCTTGTTGACAGAAAGTTTGGCTGTGGTGTGGAGTCGGACCCTCTCTGCCATTCCTGCAACGCTTCTCTGCAATGCAGACAAAGCATTCATTCCTGATTGAAATTCAGCAGCGACACAAAATGTCAAGCCTTTGCTTATTTTCCAAATGCGCTGAACAAGGCCAGAAGAAGCAGCAGCATAGGGCTCTGCAGTGTAGGAGTATCCACCAAATCATCTGCTCTGAAAGATACATCTGCTGCTGAAGGATTTCCTGCTATATCCCCCTCTAACAGGCCAGGGTTTCACTTTCAAAATGGATTCAGCTTCTGGGAGATCTGCAGAAGGGTTTACATGAGTGCAGCACGTTGGCTGGCTCAGTGGAAGGCTATAGATGTATTACAAGCTGAAAATCAATTTATCAAGCTCTCTTCACATTAACTTCATTTGACCCTTCGTCTGTTAAGTGCACAATACCTAGAGATTTGTAAAAATTTCTTGCGAGGCTTAACAATAGATAGCATTTATTAAGCTTTCCTTAGTATTGTTCTGAATGCTACAAATGCTATGATATTAGAGCAGGCACCACGAGTGAAAGCTCTACCAGTAATAGTCAGTAAACTTTAGTGCACCTGCAGAGACCGAGACAAGCTAATCTGAGAAGGGACAAAACTGTCCCTTGGTACAAAACTATTTCCTGCGGTCAAGAGGATCAAACCCAAAGACAGAGCTACGCCTGGCTGGACTCAGAAACTCATGTATGATTGCTACTTGTTTCCCAGAAATAACGACTACAAAAAATTTATGATAGCAGAATTGCTTTGTGTAACTATCATGGGACAAAAATTAAGCAAATGGAAAGGTAAGCTGGATATTGCAGTGGTAGTGGGAAAAGAGCAACTAGCTTCATTAACAGCAAGGAAGCTTGCCATAATCCTCTTTGAGACCTATATTCCTCAACCAGTGTGTTGAGCCAATGGTTCCAAGCTTATTTGGGAGTTGGAGGGATACATGGGTGGAGACAGACACACAGAATGACTCCATAGACCTTGTTTCCATAGGATACTAGGGAAAAGACTTCCTAAGGTGAGAGCCAGGAAAGTCTGTTACTCTCAAAGGAAGAAGCAAGAAACTCCTCTGTCAGAATCTTCTCCATTTGGACAGCACAACCTCTTAGACCGGAGGGAAGTCATCCCCCGTCTATCCCAATCCATCTTTCCCCCTACATCAGAGCTAGTTGAAGCTCCTGATCTCCTGTCCCCTCTGACAACTTATTTCTTAAGTACCTTTTTCTTCCATTTCTCATTTAGGAAACGAAAGGGAAAATGACAACTTTCCATGGAACAAAAAAGTCCTTTTCACTCTGCAGTCCTAATTTCCAAGAGCCTACCAAGATTTCTTGGGAAAAGCCAAGAACTCCATCTTTGGGAGTCTGAATGGAGCTTCAGGGTCTGCCTGAGACATCTGGGTGGAAGAGAGGGAGACTGGACCACGGAAAGGATGATGTTGGTTGAAGAAATGAAAATGGCAACACATCCACTTGGAAACATAAACACTTCTGTGCTCTCTAGTGGATGGGCTGTGTCTCTGTGTTTGGGAACTCCTTTGCAACTGAAGCATAATGTTGCTTGGGGAAAAAAAAGGTCTGGAGGCAAATAAAGCTTTGAATCCTACTAAATATGAAGAACAGAAAGAAGAAACAATCAGGACAGGTGACAAATGAAGGAGAGCATCGTTTCAGCCATTGCTTTAACGTGAATGCATTCTCTTCCTGAATTAAAGGTTAATTCAGCACTGTATTGACCCTGGTCTAGTGAATGACCTGATACCTAGAGTGCTCCTGAGACCTGCTATCTGGTGGTGTCAGCTAGAAGCAGTTTTGTAAGCTGCCTGTAAACCCAAGCTGCCCTTGGGACTCTTCTAGCGAGGAAGCTGTGCCATGTCAGCTTTGTAAATAGAGACAGGAGGGACAAAGGCTAGAAAACCTGTCAGGGACATATGGCTTAGTAACTGCTTAAGTAGCCTCCACTTAGGACTGACCTGAGGTTTCTTTTTGAGAGCACCAGTTGTTGCCTCAACCTCAGCTTTGAGGCAGGTCCTGCCTGAGTTTTTGGGGATGAACAGTGAGTTTAGCCTTGTCTTGTGGTCCTTTCTGCATTGTTTTTGAGAGATGGACAGTGGTCCTTTTGAAGTCAAACAAGTACTTTAAATGCTCTGAGGAGGAGGAAGAAAGGAGAGGTAGCTAGGTAGACAGGCAGATAAAAGGAGAGGTAGAAACAGAGGTAGGAGAAAAGCTGCTAACCAAACCAAAGCATACAGAGCTGTGTGGCTGGCTGTAGCAGGAAGCATGTCCTGAACCAGATTAAAACTAAAGGCATGGTTCTTCACGATCCTTCACTCGCATCTACCTTTTGTGCTGCCCCTCCCTCTGTCAGATGAAATGAGGATTTGGCAAGTTTCTTAAGAAGTTTTCAGACTTGTCATTCTCCTTGGATTATTTGCACTGACTTTTAAAATATCATTTCAACAGTTTGAAAAGTGGGATAAGCCAGTTGGCATTGTGCTAAGAAGTAACAGCAGCAAATAAGAATAATAACAATAATAATAATAACCACAATCTGTTAAGTGTCAGTAGCCACATTTGGCAGCAAATAAATCTCTGGAGGACCTCAAAAAGCAATCTATCCAATCTCAGCTGTTCATCTAACTTATAGATGTTACTCTGAGAAGAATAACAAAGAGAGGGAAGAAAAACTCTGTCAGATAAACTGGCAAAAGGCAGAACACTAAGTAAAGGCTGGCACTTGTGCTGCATGGAGAAAAGGAGGCCTGTTGGTCTGTAAGATGACTGGCCCTAACATGTGAATTTCCTGGCTCTTTGTCAGATTCAAGCTACCTTAATTTGCCATTCCTGAGATTTAATTCCGTGCCCTCCTCCTTTACCAATGATTTTTTTTTAAGTAGCTTGTTACATGTGTATTCATTTACCTTTTGAAGAAGTGTTTCAACCAGTCCAGTGTAGCGGCTGGAAATCTGACATCTGCTTTAACCAAAAGAGCCGAGTGCACTTGGAGCATGGGGATGAGGAAAAATTTAAGCTGAATATCAGGAGATGTTTCCTATGGGTGAGGTCTGGTAGTCTGTGAAATACTCCCCCTGAGAAGTGGTGGAAGCCCCTATGTTATTTTAAAAACCAGACTGGAAAAAGCAGTGAAGGACAGATTCAAGTTAGCAGTCCTGCTTTGGCTGAGAGTACAGACCCAATGACCGAACAGGCTATCCCTCCTCACCTCCCTCTGCCTGTTATGACTCTGTGATAGCTTCCCTGCATAACACAACACAAATTCATCTTCCTATGCTCACATCTTCAGGACGAGAGCTTCTGCCAAGAGTGCTATTGAATTTTGCCAATATTGCTAATTTCTTACTGCAGAGGGAGAGTAATAGCAGAACCCCTGTTTCATAGAAACGATACCCTCTGTTTCTGATGAGTGCTCATGATTGTATGTGGGGAAAGTGTTGGATACAGTTATCCCATCTGCATACACTGTCTTTTTCAGTGCAGTTCAATAAGGGGTGTGGTGGCAATTAATAATTAGGTAAATTCATGTCCACGGACAGACTCAGGCCGCTAAATACTATCCAGATGTGGAACACCCCAAAGTTATGGGAGTATTTGGATACGGGGTCTTGGATTGGAACTGTCTTTATACACAATTTGAATGGTAGATAAGAGATTATTACTAAAGGAATTAAGAATATGTATCACCCATGAGATTCTCCTAATATTTGTAGGCCCCCTTGTAACTGAATTCTTGCTGTTATGAAGCAAAAAAGCTGTTCCTAGTCAGAGTCAGAACTGAACTTGAACCCTACACACCTTGAATCTTTTCTCCAAAGCCTCTCAAACTTTGGAGAATTTCTAGCTGGGACACAGATCTGCAACAAACTTGACTCCTCTGTTCAGAACTGATTTCCTACCATGCAGAATAAACTCCGAAAATTAACTGAAAGTCTCCTGAGGCTGTAATCCAACAGTGTGAACTGGTGAAGGAAGAGGGGAGAAACTCAGCAGTATCTTCTATGGGAAAGGACCCAGGTCTCAACTAATGATCTCAGGTAGTTGTACCCACATGGATCCCAGCTGCCTGAGTATGTATTCAGGGATCTTTGTGCCAAGATCAGTGTTTCTGTCAGCTCCTCAGTGGTTAGAGTATAGCTTGGTGTGCTGTGAACCCTTCTGACTGCAGCATGCAAAAAGCAACTGAGCTGTGTCTCTCAGCTAGGATGAGGTCATTTCCATGAGCACACAGTAGGAGTGAAAACCTCCCAGATGGGACACGTGTGCTTTACAAATGCTTTGCAGTGATGCAAAATGACAATGCAATGCATTTAGGAAGAAAGGAGCAGCTATATGGGATGGTGCTTACTGCATTCCCCACTCTGAACTGAAAACAGTTGAGACTCTAACCTGTCCCACAGTGGGAAAGAACAATCTTTGTGAACACATGTTGAAATCATTATAACGCAATTGCAAATGACTTGTTGCTAGGCTATGTTTATTAGATGATAACCTTTAAGGGGGAAAAAAGAAAAGGCATTGGACCAAATTTTCAAAGAGGCTCACATTTCCGTATCCTCCGGAAACCACTCTTGCTCTCTTGTGCATCCCTGCCATTCCCATCACTGGATTTGAACCAGCTGCAAGATCAATGTCTGAGGAAAGCCAAGACATGCAACTTATCCAAATTCCTATGGGCACTGCTTGGAGCTGGTCAGTAACAAGATACAACGCAGGAAAACCTGGGTGTATTGCAGTGTTAGTATATCTGCATTGCAATAACTTGGCTAATAGAGTATGTCTGACTAGATTGACTGCTGCTGGGGAGGAAGAAAACAGGAGAATAAAAACTATTTTCCAGCAGTAAGGCACTTCCTCATTCCCCAACATAAAGTTTAAGGTGAGCTCTATACACCAAAAGTTTTACTACGTGTTACACACACCCTCTTTGCAGACTACTGGAGATAAATTGCCTGTAGAGGGTTTCTAAGACCCTAACCAGCACCTCCACTCTTCAAAACAAGATCCAAGCTCCAGTGGTGCAAGCTTTGCATTTGGATATTAATTGGGCATTTTCACTCTTTTCTGAGACCGATAACTACAGTGCTGCTACAAATAGCTCCAGACAGAGAGGAGAAGGGTATTGGCATTTCCCAGAAGAGTTAAACCCGAGAAATAGGAGTGTTGGATTATTGTTTTTTTCTTTTCTTTAGAGTAGTTAAACAGTATTTAAGCTGTTCTCCTTTCCTGAGGACAGCTTAATTTGTCCTGAATGCAAAAATTAGCTTTCTGACATTGGGGTGCCCTCATATCCCACCCTGGATGATGCAGCTAATACCTGGTTTGTGTGGTTTGTTTCTCCTAATCCACAAGAAGCATTCACATGTGCAATGAAGAGTTTTGCTCCAGTGAAGTATTCAGTTGCTTGCTTGTTTCTATTTTGTACACTGCCAACCATTTGTATTAGTGAAGACAAATGGCAGAACAGCTGCCTGCCCTAGAGACGGATGGCAGAGAAGGAGAGCCTTCCCAGTTCCTGGGGGTGACTGTTGTGCAGCTCTGCATCGCATGTGACCCGGTATCAGTGTGAATTTGACCTTGCACATCTGAGGCACTCTAACTCAGCCAAATGCTTCTTGCAGGGCATTCTCTCCTTGTGAAGCGAGCATGTTGCCCTGCAGTAAGCCTGGCCCTGTGATCCATGCTTGCTGGCAGACATCCATCTGCCGCACTGCCATCCTTGATCTGCTGAGGACAACCCTCTCTCACGGTATTTAGCAGCAATTTTATTCCTATTTTCTCCTCTCTTTCTAAGGAAAGAGGATGCTATTTATTCCCTGCATCTCGGGGAATATGCAATGTGGACCAAAGGGCCAGCCCTTAGAGGTACAGTCGAGTTTGTAAGCACTTTACAGGAGCTAGCTACTCCACTGGAAAGGATCAGGATCCCACTCTGGTCTAAGAAAGCAACGCAACCCCAAAGCCTGATCAGCCTGGTGAGAAGTTCCCATTGCCCCATGGGGCTCCTCTCTACAGCACCTCCTTAGGGACAAGTTTGGGGGACTCCCTCATGCACAGCTACTCCAGCAGCATCTTGAGATCACAGGATTGTGGACGGTTCTACATCTTATCCTTAGATGTGAAAACACTTAATACTGATCTCCTGGAAACATCCTATGCAGCACAACGCTGGACCAGACTTACCTTGATTGGAGAGTACCACTTCCGAGGAGAGGAAGGCCTGCGCATGTTGTTCGCAAGGTTCCTGGGTTCAGGGAACTCGTATTCCTGTTCTGGCATCTTGACCCTGGCATTCTTGGCTTTCTCTAACTTAGCGCCTTCTTCCGTGGAGCCCTTTTCTCCCCAGCGCACCTGAAAAGATGGCGTTGTGGCATATTACAATACTAGCTTAGCTGCTGCAGAGAGTTACACCCCTGCTGTAATAACCAGATCCTTGTCCACATTTTCCCAGTGTCCAAATCCAACTTGAAGCGCAATGCACAGGCTGTGAAGCTTGTTTTTAGACTGGAGCCCAAACTTTGAACTTTCCCTTTTTTGTGATTTATGAGAAATGTGAGTGGGGAACATTTTAGAAACACTAAAAATATTTCCTTGTAATTTGTATGGCAACACTGCATCTGTATCCCAAGCATGGACCAGGATCTTGCTCTACTAGAGAAAAAAGGTGGTCCCAAACTTCAGGAATCTATATTTGGCTCTCAAATATTCCCATAGAAAAATGATCTGGGCTCAGATGTACAAAGAAAGCTTAAAGAAGTTTGTGCCTATCTCCTGAGTTTATTTCCAGGTAAATTGCAGGGGGATATCACAGCTCAGTTCACAAACAAGATCTCTGATACATGAACTGGTATCTAATTACCTCCATTCGTTTGATGCCACCAACTCCTCGTCCTCCATAATAAGAGGCATCTACTGTTGGCCATTTCTTCTTTGGAAGGCCATCATCATCTTCCTCCTACAAAACAGAAGGAAGGGGTTACACTGTTAGGAAGCATGACTGGAGATGGAAAAGAATAAACAGTCACAGGCTATATGGTGCTTTGAGCCTGCTAGAGCCAGGGCAGTCAAGGTTCTGGTCTCTCACTGGTTATTTTCCAGAGGATGTACACTCATGAAAAGAAAATGTTTCATGATATAAACACCACCACCACTTGAAAGGTACAGCCCAGCTCCAGCAAGAAGATGGG